ATATTTCAATGCGTTTGTGGAGTTTCGTCTGAACCACCCTTTTCTAACAGCTGAATGTATGCTGCCAAGTCCCTGCAATGGAGACAAAACAAAATCCAGATTTCTGCAGCCTTGTTAATGTAGTTCAGTACCTTCTGCCTGTGTCAACATTTCTCGTGGCATGTAAGGTCCCCCTACTCTACTCAGAGAGACATTTCCATTCCAGGGTCTATTAACGCTGCACTGCTGTACTTTATGAGATGGTTTAAAATGCTCCCTATATTAGCAAGGGTTAATCAGAAAGAAATGCTGCTAGGTAAGGCAATTTTATTTCTAGTTTAACATTAAGGACTGAATCAGATGGTCAAGTAGTAATTGGGGAGGGGGGGAATTTTCATCAGCTTGAATTGTTAGGTTCACATCAATCTTTGTAAACTGGGTAATATGAGAAGGACACACCTGGGTTTTATTTCAATGATTAAGCTTGTCGTCTGTTTCCAGAAAACTCTGAAGGTAAGAAGCAAGGTGGACAGACAGACGGATGGACAGACCACATGTAAAAGGAGCAGTTCAGAGTTGTTTGCATCCATGTATTTCCAGGCAAAAAAGGCCCAGGTAGCGGACGAGTGAGCAGGGCTGTGTTTCAGACCCCGCACAACTGTTCCTACCTTGCCTGGGGCACCCCCAGTTGGCAGCTCCATGCTCTAGCACATAAGTAAAGAGGCCTCTGGCACAGTGATCTCCAGGGTAAGATGGCCCTTTCCCCACAGGTGCTTAATCGCATTCAAGGGCACAGTGGGGTATTTATATTACCTGTTCTGAACAAGTTCCATCTGCACTACAATTCTTTTAGCTGTTCAGATGTTTTTATATGTTGTGCATTGGAAGAATGGCATGCCTTTTATTGCATTTGAACTCCACCTTTTTATGAATTGTTGTAAATGGCCCGGAGAGGAGAAAGCCTTGGCCATTGGGTAGTACAGAAATGAGACTAATAATGCTAATGCTGCTGATGCAGTCAGCAAAACCTTCATCGTACCCCCGAAATGCACCCTCCGCCCAGCATAAAGGCTGCTTCAAATGCAGTTGCCATCCTCTGTGTTACGACCTGGAAGTTGTGCCACCCTGTTCAGCTTCGTGCTGAAGGACCAGCCGGGAGTTTGAGGCAAGACCTCTGCTTTCCACCGTTCCAGGCGGCCAAGCAAGCAAAGAGCAGGAGTGCTTTATGTTTTACTCAGTGGATGCTGCTGTTGTGCAGTTCAGTGAAAGGAAATAGTAGAAGATTCGGGACAGATGTAAGGAAGGACTTTGGGCATGCACATGGTGGGCATGTCGTGAGCGGACCCGGCTGGAGCCAGGGGTCCGACTAGATGGCCCAGGAGACCCCTTCTGACTCGCTCCATTTCTATGTTTCTAAGGACTTCTTCACATAGTGTTTAAGCAAGCAGTAGAATTCGCTACTGAGATGACCACTTTCTTGCATGGGTTTAAAAGAGAATTAGACACATTCACACGTGTTTCCACTGCCAGTGGCTACCATCACAAAGACACAAGGTAGTACGCCGGGGATGCTTGGGGATTTTTTTTCCCCAGATTTATATCCTGCCTTTTTCCTGCAAAGGGCTCAAGGCAGCTTACATCATTCTCCTCCTCCAGCTTATCCCCACAACAACAACCCTGTGAGGTAGGCTGGACTGAGAGCCTGCGACTGGCCCAAAGTCACCCAGTTGGCTCCATGGCTGAGCGGGGACTCGAACCCAGGTCCTCCGAGTCCCAGTCCCACGCTCTTCACCACTGCGCCACACGGGCTCTCTCATCGCCACCTAGCCAGCCACAGTGTGAACACAGAGCTGGACCGGGGGAGGGGGGGCTGGTCTGGTTCAGCATGTCTTTTCTCACATTCTTATGTCCATAACTGTTTTAACAACCAGAAAGGCATAATTACATGGCTTTGTTTTAAATGTTTTATCATGGGATGAACCGTATGAGGATGTGGTCCTAAAAGGCAGCACACAAAAGATTGAATAGCTAATTATTAAACATACACGGAAATTGTGCAAACGTACCTTTGCTTCCACAATAAAACTTCCATGGCAAGCACACACATCATCCTTGTGCAATTTGATGCTATTGCAGTTTTGTTTGTTATATTTATATCCCACTTTTTCCCTTTCAAGGAATCCAACGAGGCTTACATTATTCTCTTCCTCCTCTCCATTTGATCCTCAGAACAACAACCTTGTGGTTAGGCTGGGAGTCTGTGACTGGCCCAAAGTCACTCAGTGAACTCCGTGGCTGAATGGGGACTAGAACTCAGACATCCCAAATCCCCAGTCCAGCACTCTAACCACTATACAACACTGCCTGCTGGAGGGGCTAAGAAGAGGGCAAGAGAATATAAATATGCAGAGCCCATCCTAGTCAAGATGGCACATTTTGACTTTGGATTAATCACCATAAAAGTTTTCAGAGGGGAAAAGCAGAAATTCCTAATAGATCAATAAATAATCCTCGTGAGAGAAATGCTTCCTTCCTCAGCAAAGTAGTGGGGTTGTTAAATCAAGCTCAAACTTAATACATTAACAAAGTTGAGATTAATCTAAACTGCTAAAATTCTCGGCTGCCCTACTTAAGTTTATCTCAACTGATCATTTATTTATGATGCCATAAAAACCCAGACGCTTTTCACGGCGATTGCTACTTATTTGCTCCAAGGCAACTTGAAATTACCCTGCTAGACTTTTCATGGTGACAACTCTGTTTCCCGCTCAAAATTTATCGTGGCACGGTAATGGTGGGATCCGTCGGCTCTTGTCAGGATTAACAACACGCCCAGCCAAATGGGATCATTACCATTCCTCTGACAGATTCTCTTCTAATCTGTTAGTACTAATACAGCTTCCTGACATTCATATAAATGAACTGCGGTAGACTATAGTTATGATGCCAGCCAGGAATAAAAACAGATGATTTGGAGACTGGGTTCTGGGCATTGCCTCCACCTCCAGGGATCTGTTCTGCACTGGGGTAACCATGCCTATCAGGGCTGCGGAGTCCCAGGCCTGAGGTAAGTTTTCCACTGCTCCAATTTAGTACACCCATGCCTTGCCCCCTTGCCTGTGACATCCAAACATTTTGTGTCTTGGCTTTTGTGCTGTTATTTCCCCATTCGGAACATTTGAAATGTATTTGTGTGTTTGTTTATTAAAAACATTTATCTCCTGTCTTATATCCAGTCTGGATCTCTAGATGGCTTACAGAGAATAAAACAGGACAGCAAATTCCACAAGAGCACTTGAATCCTAATGTGTAATATAAATAAAAAATATACAGTAAAAGCATTCAACCATTAAAATGCTGAGCAAATAAAAAGAGCCAAAATGAATAAAGAGTTGGTGTCAGGCACACCTCTCTGCTGAGCAGATTCCACAGTTTGGGTGCTACCACTGAGAAGGCCCTTCCTCTGGTAGAAATCTTACCAGCCTCTTCCAAAGAGGGACCCCAGAGAAGGACCTCAGCAAATGATCTTAAGGTCTGGGCAGGTGTACATAGAAGGAAACATTCCTTCAGATAACCAGGCCTTCATCGGTTTAGGACTTTATATGTCAAGGTCAGCACCTTAAATCAGGCCTGAACTTCTGTACCAACTGAAGTATCCAGATCATTTTCAAGGGCAGCCCCACGGAATGCCTTGCAATAGTTCGACCAGGAGGTCACCAGAGCATGGAGGACGACTCCACTGCTCTTCCATGTTGCTCCACTCCAAAGAGTGCGACGTGCCTCTCCCAAGCCTTCCTTGCTGGCACAAAGGACTTGATGCTGGGAGAACGGGGTGTTTTAGGTACTTTGGCCCCACCCCTTTTGCTTTCAGACCCAGCCACCAATGGAATTTTCTCCAAGGAATTTCTCCTAAATGGAACTGGCCTGCAAGCTGAAGGAGGATCAGCATCCTTGATTCAGATGATCTGCCCAAACTGGATTGGGCCTGGAGCCTTACAGACTTCCAGGCCCTGGCATCGCAAGGCCCTTTGCTATCACCACTCGCACACAACTTTCAGATTACTGGGCAAAGGGGGTAGGAAATCTCGGCCATCCCAGAACTCAGGACACACAATAATGGACTCAAGTTAAAGCAAGCCAGACGGCAGCTGAACATCAGGAAGAAAGTCCTGACTGTTAGAGCAACAGGACAATGAACCCCTGACCCAGGGAGGCTGTGGGCTCTCCCACACTGGAGGCATCCGAGATGCAGCTGGGCAGCCATCAGAGAGGGAAGGTTTAACCTGGAGTCCTGGACTGAGCAGGGGATGGACCTGATCACCCTCTGGCCCCTTCTGACTCCACCATTCCATCATTCTACGAATAGCTGGCCAAGTTCCATCTGAGGCAGTTCCAAGCATACTGTGTATGATGTGCCAAGGACGGAAGAGGGCTGGAGCCATGGAACCATCAAGTGAGTTGCATTTGAGAGTTCTGGAAAATTAATTCCCTGGCCCTGAATTATTTCTAGAATGGGCCTGAGAAGGTGCTAGAGGGACAGGGAGCTCCTTCCTGCTGCAGCCTACAAGACCTTTATCAACAGAGTGACGGCAATATTCTCAGCAGACCAGAAAGCTCCATACAGCAGCAACCTCACAACCAATGTGCACAGCTTGCTAGCTCGTCCAGTTCTCACCAAGCACCGCAACATCCAAAGGAAGCCCCTCCTGTTTGATCCGGGTGATTCAGAACCCAACCTGCAGCCTTGTTAAATCCCACTGAACTCAGCAGGCCTCAGACATTCAAATCCCACATTCTGCTGCTCACCGATAGGATTAGTCTCACCCCGATGCCAAAAAGTCTCTTCTGGAAATTGGATTGAAATTTATAAATCACTTAAATACTTTTTGGAGAGGGAAAGATGCTCCTCAATAGCAGGAAATCAATTGTAGCCAAAGGACAGTATTGTAATAGCCACAGCGCAAGCAAGAATCGAAACACAGAGATAAACAGTCACAGTGTATTCTGCTGACAGTACTTACGATATGCAGCTCTAGGTAATCGCCGAGCCCAGTAGAGCTGTCCACACGCACCAAGACTGCTTCTTTCTGGACGGTGCTAAACCCTATTGCCAGTCTGTCTGCTCGCGTGCTGGGGCGATCGTTGGGGGGCCAGGTATATGTGATCTGTCCACCACCTTTGCTAAATATGTACGTTGTTCCCGCTGCAAGAGAGAAAGACATTTGATGAAACTTTTCATCCTGGTCTCACCCTTCAGAAGCACCACCACCAAAGTCATGCTGCCGTTTTTAAAGAAGCTTTAAAGAAAAAATATTAGAGATGGGGAAATTTGTTGATTTCAGTTTCAATCCATTTCACAGCTTTCAGGTCTTAAATTCAGTTTGTCCCGACCTTAAGAATTTTCCCAGTCCTAAATTTGCTTTATCCTGACTTCTACAAGTGGATGAAAAATTCTGTGCATCTGTCTGTGCCTTTCTCTGAACTCATTTTTATACCATTTTGCCTAGCAATTTGTGTAAATGATTTGCCTGCCACTGAGATTTGCTTCGTCTCCTGATTTGCATGTGCAAAATTAAGACTATCCTCCAATGGAAGGAATTGTCTTTTTCCTCCATCCCTGTTTTAAGCTGCATTTCCCAAATTACAATCTTTGCATTATGAAGATAAGAGAAACACCTTCCAGCCTTTTGCTTGTTTGGTGCTTGTGTGAACTCAGTGGGGCTCCTTGTGAGTAGACACCCACAGAATTGCATTGCTAATAACTGATCAATTCCCACAGTCTGCCTGAATTCTAGTTCCTTGAAACATCTCCCATTCTGTACCCAAGCACCATTACCATAGCTTACATTTGGAAGCTCAGAGACAATGTGCATTGTATCGATCCTTTCATGAGTGTGCAGGTTTAAAACACGTTTTTCTTTAACCATTTCTGTTCTTGGATGTACCTTCCCAGGTAAAAATAATTTATAGCAGGACCCCTGTATCTGCTGGTTCAGTTAGCATGTTTTCACTTAACCGTGGTTAGGAAAAGAGATGTAAAGTGCCAAAGAGAAGTCATAAAGTGCTTCATTTAAGCAAAAATTATTGATTTAATAGGGAAAGGAAAAAATGGTATACTGAGGTTGCCAGAATGTATGGTAAGAGTGATTCTTCTATCCGTGAAATTGTGAAAAAAGAAATGTATATGCACAGCATATAGTGTTTACTACTATCTGGAGTTTCAGGCATCCACTGGGGCCTTGGAGCCAATCCCTATATATGAATATAGGGTCATGCCGCATTTCTGTTCGCGTGACCCTGTTTTACTTTGAAAGTAATGGAACTCAGACTTCTGAAAGTAGTATTTTAAGAAACAATTAAAATGCCACTTTTATTCTTAGAGAATGAAAGCATTCAGAGGAAGGCCCAGGTCCAGTTACTGTTCAGCCATGAAAGGCTGAGAATCTGGGACTGTCCTCAGCCCAGTCTACTTTGCAGGGTTGTTTTGAGGATAAAAATGGGGAGTCAGTTGGCTGCTTGGAGAAATGCTGTGATAGAAATGTAATGTTGAGGACAAGAAGAGTCCCCCTTGTTTATTGTCTGACCGGGAGAGATGGGCAACACCAGAAAGTCATTTTATATTAAAAAATACTCTTTATTGTAGGTGAACACTTAGTAATATAGAGTGAGCCCATCTCCAGTCATCATGCATGGTGAATATATATGTCATCTTTTTGTAATGATTAGCAGCAAGGAAGTCATAGCAGGAAACATTACTCAATAAACGCAGGACACATCCATTGAAAAGTCAAAGCACTGTCAGCAGGAAACATTCAGCTACTTTCTGTACATTACCTTGACCCATGTCACCCTTTAGGACCTCTGCTGTTAAAACAACTGCTTCCAGGTTTACTTTATATTTTTGACCCTTTCATGTCTTTCCATAGAACCCTTAGCAACTGACCCTTCTTGTTTGGTCACTGGGAAAGAGTTATATTCTTTAGTAACAATCAATATTGAATCCACAGAGCCAAATTCAAAGATGCTCATTTCTCCAGGGATTCAGCTTTTGATCTTTTGCAGCTAAATGTGTGGATGCACTCCATTGAAAAGCCATCATTTTTAAGCATATGATAATTCATTCACCTCTGCATTTTGTGCTGAGCTACACCCAGATCAACATGAATTTGCAAACAAGCCTTTAATCATACATAGGATGTGAAGAACAAGATACCCCTCAAGGATGAGGGGTGGAAATTTTTCCAAAGTAGGCATTTCTCCAGTGGTGTTTGGTAGAAAAGATTCCATTTTATAGGTTGATTAAGGAAAATGAATGTATGCCGATTGCAATTACAATGCTAGGCAAGACTGACAGTTTCAAATTTGTGCACAGTGCTTTGCAGGTGATTATCCCTAGCAATTATGTGAGAGAATTCAGATACGTTGTTGAAATGCATATGTCACTCAGAGTGAAACGGAACGAATGAATGAATGATAACAACAAAACTGCTGATGTGCCGACTATCATAGTGGAAGAGAAGGGAAATCTGTTGAAACAGATGCATTTATCGCATCCCATCATGTGCGTTTCTTTATGTTGTTCAAATGAATTGGTATGACAATAGGTTTCATTCCCTTTGTGTGTGTGATTCTTAGTTTTAAACTGTGCAAGAAAAAGTCATGCTATTTTTACAAGTGCTCCAATAAACATTTCTACATAATATAACTTCAAACCACGTGAGGGAGTGTTTTAATTTTGCAGCAGCTGCCAACTTGCGGCCATCTAGGTGTTTTGGCCTACAACACCTATCAGCTGTAGCCAGTACATCCAGTGGTAAGAGGCAGGGGAGCAGTAGAATAAAAAATGTATAGGTCCACAAGTTGTCATTGCTGCCCTAACACATGAGAACATTTTCTGAGAGGAGTTGGAAAACTTCCTGTGCAAAGGAATCAGATTTGTACTGGGAAAAAAATCAAGAAATATTTTAGTTCATTTTTTAAAGAACACTCACATTGTACAGTTTAAAATCCACATTCTATAATCAATGGGAGGAAATGTGTGCATTTTTGAAAAATAAGTATGAAAATGCACGTGTTTTCCATTCAAAATTTTCGCTTTCTCATTTGTACAAAAAAAAACAGGGTTCAAATGAGAACAAGAGTGACACAAGCTAAGATACGAAGTGGAGTTTGGGGGACCTGAGCAAACGCAAGCCTATCTCTGCCCACAACATGGTAATCTAAAGATTCAAGCATGAACTAAGACCCTCCTGGAGAAATGCAGCCCTTCAAGCTGACGCTGCTAACTTTTTCTGGCCTTGAGGTTTTTTTCACATTCAGCCATGCAATTACGCCTCCCTGCTTCTGCCACTTGGAATAAATGGTTCTCAGGAGAATTATACCACATTTTTCCCTGTACAGTTTGAATGTAGGGATTTGTGAGAAATCTAGTTGGAGAATAAAAATCAGATTAATTTTCTTAACTTGGCCCTGTGGATTCCATTCAGTCAACCCTTCACTGGCACTGATTTTATCTGATGGGAGTCAAGCCAACAGAGAGATTTCCATTTCTGAAACGGGCTATGATTTCCGTTTTTTTTAAGTCAGAGGAATTTGTGCAAAATTCAGACTGCTGCCCCACAAGTTTGTGCAGTTTGCAAAGCAAAGGCCTGAATTTTGCCCGAATCTGAAGTGGACTGTCAGACAATTCAAGGGGGCCAAGGTGGAGTCTGCACATGCGAAGTGGGTGGAGCAGGCCTCAATGAAAGAAACAAGAACAACTCAGATCTAATGAAAGATGCAGGGAAATTAGAAGGGGTCCAGCGGAGGGCAACAAAAATGATCCAGGGTTTGGAAACATTGCCCTATGAGAAGATATTTTTAATTATAATTATTTAACTAATTGTTGTAAGCTGCCCTGAGGCTTCGGCGAATGGGGCGGCATAAAAATGTTTTAATAAATAAAATAAATAAATAAGAGACTGAGGGAACTGGGCATGTTCAGCCTTGAGAAGAGAAGACTGAGGGGGGACATGATATCCCTCTATAAGGACCTCAAAGGCTGGCACAAGGAGGAAGGACAGGATCGCTTCTCGATCACCCAGAGTGCAGGACATGGAATAATCATTTCAAGTTGCAGCAACCCAGATTCAGGCTGGGCATCAGGAAAAGCTTCCTCACTGTCAGAGCAATACAACAGTGGAACCAGCTGCCTGGAGAGGTGGTGGGCTCTCCCACACTGGAGACATTCAAGAAGAAACTGGACAGCCATCTGAGTGGGATGGTGTAACGTGGTGTCCTGCAACATCAGAGGGTTTGGCCTGATGGCCTTCTTGGACCCTTCCAACTCTACTATTCCATGATTCTGTAAGTCAGCCTCAATTTACACAAACTGCAATTTGCACCAACCGCAGTAGAGGCACACACCTCTTTGGTGCGCTTCCATGCAAATATTTTGAGCAGTTTCATGGTTTCTTTAGGAAGATGGGTACTTAGATTACTTCTCTCTGCTGTATTTGGCTCCCTGCAGCAGCTAAGACACCCATTATGATAAATGCAAATAATGCATCTTTCTCTCTCCCACTCTCCCTCCGTCCCTCTCTCCCTCCCTTCTTCCCTCCCTCTTTTAAAATTCATTAGAAGTGGAGAGCCCTGTTACTGAAGCTGCAGCTCTTCCCTTTCCTCTCTGGATGCAATTGTCACAAAAACCAGCTTCCCCACCCTGCACTAGCAGAGAAAGCAGCTTTAAAAAGAACAGCAGCACGGACCAGTTGGAAGAGGCTTCATTGCTGCCCCAGGGATGGGTGTGCGGGGCTGTTCGCCTTTTCAGAGCTACAGCCTTCCCCGTGCCCTGTGGTCCCAGTGCACCTCACCCCTCTGACTGTCTCATTCCATGCAGTTCATGGAACTACATGAGTAGATCCATGTAGTTGAGTTCTAATGCCCTTTCATTTCCCAGCTTCACCAGAAAAGCCTGTAGATTGGCAGAAGAGATTTCTCCAACATCACCTTTATTTTAATTCCAGAAGACACTTGCAGTCCTTCCTTTCCACCCGCCACAAATGAAGCACCTTTCTAGCAAGTGCCTCCCATAAGCGCTGAAACCCATCCAGAATGAAATGTAACTGCAGGCTTCTTGTGGTTTCCTGGAGCCATAAATAGCAGCGGTGTCCTGTGGTCACTTTGCAGCTGATTTGCTCAGCCGCTTTTATAAAAGCAGGATCC